CACCCAGCCGAGCAGCGCGCTTGCTACGGAGGACGACCTCGGCGCCGGACTTGACGACTGTGTTGCTGCCGGATGCGCGCGTCGTGATGGTGTAGATGTCGGCGGCGCCAATGTCGGTCGAGTTGAAGCAGTTCGTCGAGTTGATCTCGGCGATGCGCTCGTCGCCGGGCTCGCCAAAGGTAATGTCGACGCACTGAGGACGGGGACACCTGTTAGCATGCTGTTCTAGATAGACAGGACATTTCACGAGAGCAAACCAGCTTACCGAGTACAGAGCCGCGCCGTGCATGGCGTGCTCCACAATCTGAATGGTGGCGTTGTCGCCGGCCTTGACGGTGACATTGTTGGGCATGGGCAGCTGGGGAAGGCAGACGGTGCCGGGGTAGGGGTTCTTGCTGGGTCCGAGGATCTGGAAGGGGACGCCCATGGTGTTGGACATGTTGAGGGGACCGCCGTCGGGGCCGCCGGTGCCGAAGCCCATGTTAATGTGGATGGTGGCCGTGAGATGGCCTTGGAACCAGCCGGGCTGAAAGGCGACGGCGCCCGCCGGTCGTGGGCCAGTATGTGCGGTTCTGCGTCAACGGAGTTCCGCCGCCTGGATGGCGTGTTAGTTTAGACCGGCGGTTAAGGAGGAGATCCTTGGAGATATCGAGGCTTACAAGGGAAGGTCCACTGCATGCCGTAGGGGAATGTCTCATTGGTGATGAGATTGTTCCCTCGCCAGCCTGGGTAGGAGATGACGATGTGGGCGGCGGCCGTCGCCGCGAGGACGAGGGCGGATAGAATTGAGGCGAGCATGGTGATGAGAATGTGTGGGGATTTCGATAGATGAGTCTCAACAGATGCAGCGAGTTTCGTTTAGACTTAAGTTCCGACAGGCTTTTCTTTTCGAAGACTCTTTGTTCACAAGGCTGTCAAGAGATTCGATCACCTGCAGTCAGTCGAAATGCCGAAGGTGGCTGGTTCGTCTTTGTTTGTCTTCTTGTGTAACGCGGGGGTATTGTCGTATTGGTCTTGTCGAGCTCCTTAGCAGTCAAGCACTCGGTATTAAAAGATGCTTCGTATCGTCTCGCACAGCAGGACGATTCAGTCTTCGGAGTCGCAAAATGATTCTGAGAGGAGAGACGGGAGAGGAGGGTGAGTGTGAGGCGGCCCTCCCGAGCTATTATCACTGGGTCAGACACAGCAGACCACCCGGCCCCGACGATCCAGCCGCCCGCCTAGATGCAGGCGCATGGCGTTCGACCACTTGAAGATGGGCAGCACACCTGCATGCGCCCAATGGGCTGTCACTGAAGGCTCTCTACCCCCGCCCGCGACATGTCTTGCTCTGGCCAGGCTCGTGTGCAGAGAGGGGAGTTTGAAGGCCAAGCTGGGCGCCGCGCGACCAGCAGTTGTCCTGCATGCCGCGTGCTTCCGCAAAGACTTGCCCACCCCTTGTGCGACCGACAGGAGACGAAGCCAATAGGGAGCTTCGGGGGCTGGCGAGCCGCCGCGACAGCTGTGATGGGAGTCTGTGATTTGTCCATGGGAGGAGAGTAGGGGTGCAGGCGGGTGATGAGCGGGGAGCCAATGGAGAGCTGGAGATGCGAACAGGCATTCGGTGGCCAAGACGCTGAGTGGCGGGAAGCCAACACTGAACAAGGGTCAGGGTGCTGGTAAGCGCCGACATGGAGTTGGTGTCGTGCCAAGCCCAGTGTGCTTGTGTGCTCTATGTACTGGTGCCCCTCTTTCTCCGGTCTGCCGTCGGACCTGGTATTGGACCTAGTGGGTGATGGGGGCTATTTCTGACCCTGTACATGAATGGTGGTATCTGCACATGTGGGAGCTAGGTGACCTTGATGCCGTGGCGATTGATTTCGAAGCTACGGGAGTCACAGATTGTCGGCGTTGTACTCGATTCCACGACTTGTGATGCTTCGTGTCCATGCCGAATGATGACTGCGCTGCTGACGACAACTCAACCCCGGGTTTCACAGTCGATCGAATATCTGACATGTTGTCACGCCGCCGCCTGGGTTTCGCTATACGCCATAAGCTGACTGCTGCGCTGATGGCCATCCGAGTAACACCAAGCTTGGCAATGGCTGTCGCTGCCGATTCGTTGCTTCGGCGTTGAGATACATGCCGCAACGTGCCTGGTAAGTTGTCGAATAGGTGGCTTCACAACTGCCGGAGGATGAATCCTTCGCGCGGGCCAGCCTGAGGCGTACTCTTAGATTGATTCTACCATGTATCGCTGGAACCCAAGACAAGGCTTCATGCCGACTTTCAGATGACTTGCGAATCTGCCTGCAACGTGTCTGGGGATTGTTATTGACTCTTGTTAGCGATTATTGGTGAAAGTATGCTAATTAATGCTCTGAAATGTGTTTCTTGTGAACAGCAGGAATGGATGTTGTAGTTGTGTTGGAAAGGCCGAGGGTCCCTCCAATTTCTGGTGCTCGGCTTCAGTCTGCCACACAGTGTCCATCCTTAGGGAAAGCGGTCTAGAGTTACCCCTCATTCTGCCGAATCCCCCCTCCGAAATTTGGTCAAAACCGCCATCTTTATGTCAATTGATCGCCATCAATTATGTCGGAAAGCGTTCCCGTCGAAGACCGTCCGGTCGAGCAGGAAGAATGGACGAGAGTGAAATCCAAGTCTAGATTCCGGCGCGCCCCACGAAACACTGTACCACCGGCACTCGCCAACAAAATCAAACCCGACGAACCCCACCATCAGAAATCAGTAGCCGACATCAACGCTGAATTCGAGACCTTCCGCACACGATGGCACGAATCGGATGCTCATCAACGGCTCGCTGCACTTCTTGAAGAGAAGAACAAGAATGTACATGCGCCAGTGAACAAGGCGGTATGCTTGGGTGTCGGCACGTTTGACACGGAAGATGGCGGCTGGGACGCCCGGAGGAGGACATACATCCAGTTGATTGCTTTTCTGGACATGGTTGAGCTGCTGTGTACGTGACTGACTCCACGTCAGAGGAGACTAATCTGACAGTTTCATAGCCAACGAATCAAGCGAGCCCATCCACTGTATCTTCCAGGAGCCGCGTTTCACAGCCAACGACAAGGCATTTCTCGAAAGCCTTGGCCATGAAGTTGTCGAGTCTCCTGGCGCCTTCGAGGCTGTCGACCGGCACTCTCTCCTCTTCGCCATTCACATGTATCGACCGATATATGAGGCCGCACTGTCCACATTGCCCGCAATGTTCGTTGGCACCGGTTGGGAGACGTGGGATGGCGTGGGCAACTTGAAAGAGGGCGACTTCCAGTGCATGCAGGACATGCATGCATCACACAAGCTGCTGCCTTTTCCGCAAGATGGCACGTACACGACATTTTCTAGCACGTGTATCTACTGGAGGCCTTTGACTGTTGAAAAGCCAGACGGCCGATCCTCTGACGCGTCTGACGTCGTGCCTCCAAGCGGTGTCACCGGTCACGGTGTGTCAGAGAAGGCCGAACCTGAGGATGGCAAAGATCAGGCCCAAAACACCGACGCCTCTCATGGCACAGAAGACGCTAAAGAAGCTATGAAAGATACGATCCAGAGCTAGCCGGACACCTTGACTCACAACCACTCAGCACCGGCCTCGTACACGTACAACGTGGCATTGCCCTCCTCAGGCAGGAAGTAGAGCTGCATCTTGCCATCAATTACGTCAACATCCACTGGATTCTTCGTCACCCAACACGCCGTGGTCCGTCCTCATGGTGATTGGGAACCTCCATCAGCGGCTCCAACGTCTGGGTGTCGACGATGGCGACTCCGCCGACCTCTACCCCGTCTGCCAGCTTCGCGATGCCAGAGCAGAGCATCACGGCGCGGTCTTCATACGCTTTGGCGTGGCCCAGAAATTTGCAGTCCTGATAATCGATCCAGTGTGACGGGTTGGTCACTCTGCGCTCTGGCGGTGCGAATTTTGACAGGGGTGGTGCTGATTTGTCAAGGCTCCATATGGACGCCTCACGGCCGCCCCAATTGAGAGTCGTCAGGGTACGATTCGAGGGATCATGGACAACGCCCCCTTGGTGGTCGCCTACCCGAAAGAGGGTTTCATGTTGGAGGGTGGCAGGACTCAGGCGTAGGACCGTGGCCGTGCTGTTCGGTCGGTATTCACTGAGAGTAGCCCAGATGAACTCCCCATCGTAGTCAATGCCACCCAGGTGATACTGATTTGTTAGTGTCACATGAAATCCATCGCTCTTTTCAAAAACGGAAAACGTAATCAGAGCTCTGGCCATTTGCGATTGTCGACGTACCTCTGTTGAACCTTTTTCGGTCAGCGTTGCGTCGGCGATCCGCTGGCCCTGTCCGTCAAACACGACAATGTGCCCGAACCCAGCGCCGGCTGTCCGGTCCGTGCCATCCTTCCATTGCCCATCAGGAAATTTCCGCGTCGGGACTGTGTACTCGCCAGCAGAGACGAAGTAGCGATCCGTCCCTACCTTGGCGATCCCTTCTGGTTCCCAGAGCACGCCCTCGAAGGCGATCTTGGACACGAGTCGCCAGGATGTTGAGCGCGTGAGCTTCGAGAACTGGGCCAGTATCTCGTCGGCATGGGTGAGAGGATTCGGCGGCGGCAGAGGCGATGGTGCGAATGGGGTCGATGGGCGCGTGATGGTGATATTTGGGGATGCCAAGGAGGGTCGGGCCATTGTGGACAATGGTGATATCGTGGCGCTGCCGAACAAGAAGAAGAAGAGTGCGCCCAGAAATGAAGTCATTGGACCTTGGCGAAACCTTTCTATTCGGCCGGGTTTGGGAGATGACAGCAAGTTGCCGGCTTTTGTTGCGGATGCATTGTGCCGTTTGGTGATGCGGATGGGCCGGAATGTGGTCGCACGTGAAGATCACTGGGGACGTGAGTACCGCCATTGGGGTGCACAGAGTGTCTCTTGACAGGGCTTCGATTCGGAGACAGCTACAATGAGGTTTCCAACGGATACTGTTGGTCTGATCTATCTAGTCCTGTTGACTTCGACCAAAGCCCCCCCCTTCCGCCCCAATTCATCCAAGGTTTGACAAATCTCAATTGGCATTCCAGTCGTCGGCGCCGAAGGCTTTCATCACCTCGGCAATGTTATCCGGGGCTGACCCGGCCTCCGCAGCCCCTCGCAAGTCTTTGTTCATTGTTTGAATCATGATCCTCTTATACGACGTCAGCGCAGGCGTACCATTATCAGTCACCTCCAGAACCAGATGAAGTAGCTGGCCCCGAGCTACGGGGCTTCCCCGTGGTGAACCTGTCAAAGCAGCACTGTTCCGGCGGCGGTAAGCGCACCTTGACGCGTCTCGCATCGGGGTCCAGGTTCTCGATCTCGAGATTCGAGACCTCGAAACGCACCAGCCATTGCGTGGCAGTCGGCTCCTTGTACTGCCACCATTTGAACGACAAGCTGTCGCCGTCTGGGTCATAAGAGCTACTCGCGTCGAACACGATGTCCTCGCCAGCCTCAATCTCGAGCTCTAGAGCTTCATGGCCCCACGAGTCATTGACGCAGAGAACGGGGTGGTGGTTGGCGGCCTTGAAGTCAGGATGCAAAGACCACTGGATCCGCGAGGCGAAATCATTTTGGAACGTGTCCCTCCACCGCCAGATCGTCGCCTGGTTTGAGGTGTACGTCTTGCCGTCGGCTCCCACCACTGCGTCCGTCGTGTCGCTGTAGTGTCTGCCGGACAGGCCCCTGCCGCTGAGATCTGTCAGGGCGTAGCGACCGCCCCAGGAGCCGTACTCGGGGTGTTCTCTGACGCCCAGTCCGTTTTGGATGAGATACAGGAAGGTCGGCGTGTCGCCCTCGGGGATGAAGATGTAGTCCGGGTACGTCGAGCCGAGGGGCCCAACCTGGATATTCTTCTTGATCCAAGATTTTGTCATCTTCGAGAAATCGGGCCCGCCCTGGTCAAAACCATAATATCTGTCGCCCGCGATGCCTGTCCATGCTGCGAGGCCATATTGGTTCCACGCATGGACGGAAGAGATGTAGAAGATGTCGGGAAACTCGGCGCGAATCCACGCCGAGGTGTCATCCTGGTCCGAGATTGTGTAGACCCTCAGCTTGGCTCGTAATGATGCCGCCTTGTCGGCGGGGTATTTCTCCTTGATCGTCAGGAGCACCTGTGCGAGGACGTTGGTACCACCCCATACAAGCACCCATAGTGGTCTGTCGGAGGAGGCTTCAATCCTGTCGAGAAGCAGTCGGTGGCCGTCCGTGAGTGGTTTGTCTGTCCCGACACCCTCAAAGCCGTATACCTGAAGGAGCACCCAGGTCAGTCTTTCACGCAAGAAACTGAAAAGGAAGAGGGGAGCAACATACTGGAGGGCCTGATTTGACCAAGCTGCGTAGTGTTTCTGCGGTCGGGTATGGGTGGTCGGGATGTGTATGATTATTCAGGTTGTCGACTACGCCGGCGTAACCGTCGATGATTTTGTGCATGTCTTGAGGGCAGACCTTCGTCTTCATCCATGTTGACGTCACAGCAACGATGCCCTCAGTGTCAAATTGATTGGAGTAGAGAAGGAACCGCACGAGCGACTCTGCATCGTCAGGTTCATTGGAAATGTCGGACAGCACGAAAACGCGCGGCTTGTCGAGAAACGACTGAAGGCTCGAGGTACTCATGGCACGATTTCTACCGATGGGCTTTGGGCTTCACAGGGCGTGGTGGCGCGTTGGTTCAGCTCGGCTCTCGGGTCAATGGTGTTTATGAAAGAAACATCTTCAAGATAATGCAGTCTGAGGAAGAAGAACCGAGCTGATCTATTGTCAAGGCCGACGAGAAGGGCAGTCAGAGGCTCCATCACCGGTTCGGACTTAGATAACACCCAGATGCCAACTTAAACCTGATTCGGAATTGTTAAGCGCACCGCGAAGAGCTGGAAGTCGTACTCCTTCAGTGCCAACGTGAGATTCTCCGTCGTTTCTCCAGTTCTCTTCACATGCAACCCCGAGGGGCCCCACCATCTGTACTCCAGGTCTACGGCTGGTCCTCCGCATGATGCCTGGTTTTGCTGGGTCACCACGTGGCGTTCCAGAGTCCCGAGCTGGTTCCCGATCAGGAAATGCGAAGCACGATAGCATGATGGGTTGTTAATATGCTGGCTTCGTACCATGACTCGCCGCCAGACGGTTCACTGCGAAAGATCAGGTACCCAACGTAGCGTGAGAAGCCTGCTCAAGATCTCCACTACTCCAAGCCGATTCTGGAGCATTTTACCCCAGTTCCGATTCCCCAGACCGAGCAAGGCACGCTAGAAGGACCGAGTCATTGTTTCCGAACCATGGCCGACTGGCGAGCCCTTCGCCGAGCCAGCTCACATATAAACCCATCGCCTCCACCTCACTGTGATGGTGTTTAAAATCTTGGAGTCCATCATCACCGACAGTTGTTTGCCCGACTCTATTCTTAGCCACAAAATCAAGCTTGCAGGCATCATGGAGCTCGAACACGAAGAACGACCCCGATATGGTGGTTGACGAAGAGGTGACGGAACCAGCTCGGCCCGCCTTGCCAACCAGGAC